CTCCGATCGTCTTCCCCCAGTTTTATTCAAAGATGAATGAATTGGTAGAGAACTACAAGTTCAGTTCCCTAAAGTTTGGAACACTGAAACACAGGTCTCCTCGTGGGGGAATGGATTGTCGTCCCCATCTTCAAAAGGGCTCGCTCAAAGAATAAGCCAATTTTAGGGGTATAAGCCTTATCCCAATAGCGTCAAAGCTGTTAGCGTCCGTCGTCCACAGATTGTACACTGCGTGAGCAGACCCGCGAGGAGCAGGCTAGGTTTCGCGCTGGTCGTCGATGTATCGATCAAAACTTCACCCTCTGACGGTTGCTATAGCGTCGTCAAACCTACCACAGACCAACAATCATTGTGTTCCTAGACATCCGCGCGGCCTTCGATTCTGTCGATAGGAACGGCTCATGGAGCTGAAGTTTTGAATGCCAGTTTCTTGGATGCAACATACATCGATGGCCTGGGTTTCAAGCATACAAGTTAACCACGCTTGTTGACCTATCCTCAGATTACGCACATAAAACGCGACAAGTTTGAAAGGACATCGAGGACGAAGAAAGGCTTCAGTTGGTGGAGGTTTCAGTGAGACTTGGACAGTAGTTGAGTTCCATTCAGTTCAGTTTGAACAACCATTAACCACGCTTATTCGTGCGCCGGTTTTGGTTGCCCATTTAGATGAAGAATAAGAGAGGAAAGGCAACTTCAAAGTAGAGTGGAAAAGAAAATGGAGAAGTTCAGTGGACTAATGATGAAAAGAAATTGAGAAGATGCACAAACGCCACTGGTTGCGACACCCAGCCATATCACTCTGCCTCTAAGCATCAGTTACGATCATCCCAAGGTCCGCAGCCAGTAAGTACGATCGCCTGGATGATCCGCGAGAGATAGAGGAGCGTTGGGGGGGGGGGGGGGGGCCCCCNNTAGTAACATGTTACACTTCGAAGGTGCACAACGCATTCCGAATCTGGCTAAGCTGGCGTTCAGGTTATCCAGAGATGCTTGCAACTTACCTGGATCTTCACTTAGTAGCACAATGTCGTCTACGTACTCTAGATCAGACAGTCTTCCTCCTGGGAGTAAACCGATATCGCTACCATCGCACGAGGATAGGTCTGTTTCCATAGAGAAGCCAGAAGCCTTATACCTTTTGAGATACCTTATCTCCCGAAAAACCTTGATTTCAGCTGGAGGACCAGCATCAACTGGGAATATTTCTCCAGTCGAGGCGGAGAGTGAAAGATAAGCTGTCGATGGGGGCCAGTTGAACTGAGCCTTGAAGTGTTCAGCCCAACGGTCAAGACGGCGTTGCTGATCGTGAATACTTACGCCTATTTTCCTAGGGCCCGTATTCCTAACTAGATGGAAAACGTTAGGACTATTACCAATAGCCGCAGCTTTCTCCATCTCTTTACACTTTTCTACCCACCACTTCTCGCGGTCATTCCTCAGACTCTTGATGAGCTGGTGTTTGGAGGAATTGCGCACTGTGTCATATGTGGCATCCGGAGGAAGGGTTTGGCAGGCAACCAGTAGGGCAGCCGAGGTCGACGAGATCCATTGTTTGTGTTTTGAACCGGCGCCATGGTCCGATGTTGTTCCTGATGATGTTTGCATAGCTTCCTCGATTTGCTTCCAGTGTTCATTGAGTCCTTCGACTGGTGGTTGAACTGACAGGCGATCGGATAGCTCCGCTCCGAATGCCGATTTGCATGAATCGCTGACATTGTATTGTAGGTATCCGTTGTCGGT